TATATTTGGAGTAGCCTGTGAGTTATGAATGAAAATGTTAAATGTAAAAAATAAATATAAAAATGCCTGGTTCTCCACCGCTAATGCGACTGTACCTCCCAGACGTTAAAAACCTTAGCCTATATGTCTCTGCCGGCTGCATTCTCACTGAAACGCATCGTAAATACATCACAAGGGAGCCATTTACAGAGACCTATTGTTTCTGCCTCCTTTATGAATACCTCGTTCCGCTCTCTCTTTTATCTCTCCTCTTCTTGTGTTCTCATCTATTACTGCATCGACCAACTTTTCCTCTTTCTCTGCTAATGGAAATCGCACCGTGACTGGCTCTGAGCACTTGCCACTGACGATCACAATGCAGCTTAATGGAAATCAGTCAATCATTTCCACACTGTTAGTGAGAGGTTTGGTCGATGCAGTGCTGGCATTTCCCCGCAGCCGTTTCTGCGTGACACACGGTGCTTCATGTGGCCCACGGCACACCGTTCTGGGGACATAATGAGCGCTCTGTAGACAAACTGGGTCACATGAGGTTTGTTTTTAGCTAAACAATTAGCTAGCTCTCCAGCCTCAACGTATCTCCCTCCCTGCCTCTTTCTCTCTGTTTTCATGTTACACCCAGATAGACACACAAGGAAGTTGCACGGCGATGACTGCAAACACATTTTGACCTACACATATGCATCCTGCCACAGTCACTAAAGAATCAAGAAAGGGCCGGATCTAGTTTCATCCTGTTGAGACTACTGTGGCCTCGCTTTTGTGTCATCTGAGCAAGTCTCTATAAAAGAGCCAGTGTGATTCGTAGTGGACTTTTGCATTATTTATCTAAGATCTGTGAGCTGGTCATGTGATCTGAACAGGAGGGAAGTTACTACAGTGAACTGTATGAGCCGGCGGGGCTTCTGTTTTTAGACCGGGGAACCCAAGTGTTGAATGAGTTTTACCTTGGTGTTACAATTTTTGGTCAACACTCAGGATGTTGTGACAAGAAAGGCCAGGGCCTTGACCACCATAGACACACGCTCAGCATTCAGATTAGAGGTTGTTGATCAATATGGGGTTTTCAATGACAGATTCTTGATTTCCTCAATTGGGTTCTCCCCAATATATTATGATAATACAATTATATATATTCAGTTATATTAAAGGAAAAAGCACTGTTTGTTTTCTACTTTGATTAATTATTTAGTTTATCTAATATATAAAAATATATAAAATAATCAACAATAAATTATTATTATTAAATAAATAATAAATATATATTTTTATATTAATCTTTTAAATGCAGTGAAAAGAATGCTTGAAAGCTACTTGTGTTTTTTAATAATGATGATGATGATGATGATAATTATTGAAATAATGAAATAAAAAGCACTGTTTAACTTGTTTATTTATATACAATTTATATATGTACTTTATTTATTATTAACATTATATAGTTATGTAATTATTGTATTTACATATATAATTATGTTTTCATTTTAATAATAATAATGAAATAAAAAGCACTGTTTACTTAATTTATATACACACATATATATATATACAATTTTGTTTATATATATTCTGTTTATTATATTTGTTATTTATTAAATAAATAAAAGAAGAAAAATAGAACAAAGGTTAAAAAATAATCATTATTCATAAAATAAATTAAATGACAACATATGCATACATACAGTGTGTGTGTGTGTGTGTGTGTGTGTCATTTTTTTTATTCATATAATTATGTTGTCTTTTAATTTATGATTATGAATAATAATCATATTAATTATTTTTAATCTTTGCTCTATTTTTCGTCTTTTTATTTATCGGCCCTTTGTTTTGATGGGTGTGCCACATCCAAGACTTGGACGTAAATGGCCTCCTATTAAATTATGCAGGAAGTTTTAATTGAACACCACAGTTATAACTGACGAAGTATGATTATTTACGGTGTTTTGTGTTAACGGAATTATTAATGAATGTACCGTTGTTTGTCACACTGTCGTTGTTATACTGTAGGCTAATCATAGTTCATCCTTTTGATAAAGTGAAAAACGTACAAATTTCCATATTTGCAGTATCATCATGTTTCAAGTAAAAATTTAATGTGTAATAATGTCTTAATGATGACAAGACGGATCCCGCTCACTGAAACTTTTACTCAGAATTACAGCGACTGGCTTCAATAAAAACAATAACAAAAGCATTGCGTTGAACTGTAATAAAGTGGTTATAAGTGGTCGTGGCTAATTAGAAAACTCCTTTGATTTTAAGGAAACACTTGACATGTATGTACGCTACTTGACGTGTAATCTCGAACCAGCTGGCGGTGTATAAACACAGCATGAGAGAATATCAGGTGGGGTCACAATCAGCTGTGCACAAGAGCTTTTGCCTCAGACTGATAAGAAACTCCCCGCGCTGTAGTACTTAATAATAGTTATAGTACTAAAACAAAACAGCTCAGGCTAAAACAAACACAAAGCAGGTCAATCGGAGAGCACCAGATGAGTTTCTTTGAATTTTATTAACTTTCAGCCTGGGCTTGTTACATCACCACAGATAATTATGTAATAGATCCCCTTTAAACGAACATTTTCAGCTTGTTTCTGTCTCCTTCGGTCAAACCAAAAGCTGCTTTTCTAAGAACCAACCAACTGTAGCTTCAGTTTCCTTATGTGTCATGAGAACGAAGCATTCAACATATCACATGAAAACATTAAGTGAAAGGGTCACAACTCAGCTAAGTATCCTGTTTCAAGGTTTAATACACGACTGAAAGCTGATCTAAGACACAAAACACCAATGCACATTCAGTAAGACAAAACATATGATACAAGACAAATCATACAAGACAAAACGTACTGAATGATAAATGCGTGCCCTTCTCTAAGGCATATAATCGCATTGTAAGGGTGAGCAAGGAAACCCAATGAAGAATATTTGTCTCACTTTGGTAGGAATGATGTTGTTGTTGGTTGATAACTGTAACGGTAATGATAACGATATATACCGCATACAAAATCACATACTGTATAGACCATTTCACAAGATGTAAACAACACTGGTCCAGAAACACTTCCTGTTTCAGTTTTCAACTGTTTTCTTTATTTCACATGTAAAGAAAACATCTTAAAGATGTTTGTTTAACTTTTTGATTCAGTTTTAAATGTTCTGTTGGTTGTATTTTATCCCAGCTTTTATGTAGTGTTAAAAAACTGAAACAGGAAGTGCTTCTGGACCAGTGTTGTTTACATCTTGTGAAATGGTCTATAGTGGATTTAAATTGGCAAATGCTTAAGTCTATGATTGGATCATCATTGCAGTGATTATTATGTTTCTATTATTATGTTTGGCAACAGTTCTTCTAACCCTAACTGATGGAGTGTGTAGCTTTTCATTTCTTAAACAGCCATGTAGGAAGACACATCAAGGCCACATTCCAGGATGACAATGTCAAGATTCATGTCAAGACCAAAAATGGACACACCTCTTGGTGGAAATAACATCACAGTATTCGTTCCCATCAAGAGGTGCATCAGTCCAGGATATTTCTCCATATAATGGACTTCAATGGGAACCAAACGGTTCAAGGTCCAAAAGACAGTTTCAGTGCAAACTGCAAACTGTTCAACAGGCTTTAAACGATTCCAGATGATGAAAATAAAGGTCTTATCAAGTGAAACGATCGCTCATTTAAAAAAAAAAAAAAAACAAAGTTTAAGTTTTATAAGCTCAAATGGTTGCCTCTTTGAATCTTTTCCAGAGTCAACTCGTTCATTTCGTTCGTTGAATGAACCAAATGACACGAAAAAAGATTCGTTCATTTTGAGAAACGAGTTTGAACAGGAGAGTCACACAGAACAGAGCAAGGCGAGCATTTAGGCTTATAAAACTTTATTTATTAAACGAGCGATCATTTCGCTTGGTAATTCTCCAGTTTGCAGTTTGACTGAAACTGTCTTTTGGACCATGAACCGTTTGGTTCCCATTGAAGTCCATTATATGGAGAAAAATCCTGGAATGTTTTCATCAAAAACCTTAATTTCTTTTCGTCTGAAGACAGAAAGACATGGGCATCTTGGATGACATGGGGGTGAGTAAATTATCAGTGTGAACTACTCCATTAAGCTCTGGACTAATTCATAATTCATGAGTGAAAATGATTCTTCATGCTCCCTCACAACTGTTCTTACACACTTTGAGCCTAATGAATCTTAACATTGTCATCCTGGAATATGGCCATGATGTGTCTTCCTACATGGTTATTACTGTCATGTGACCAACGGCATCAGTTGCGTCGCCTCACCCTCCATTCACAAATTCTCTCCTGTGGCCTCATGGGATAGTGATATTTCCATCGTATGCACAATTCAGAATCTTGCCGTAAGTAGAAGTCAGTCATCCGGGTACTTTTCGCATACAGTTTTATGAATACTATGATTTTGGACATCGGCTCAGTTACTGTTTTTTTGCATATTGAAAGGCATATTGAAACTTCAAAAAATGAAAAACATTGCTCAGTTTACCTTCACTACTTATGTGAAAACCATGATACGTTGCTTTCAGGATTCTTTGATGGATATAAAGTTTAAAAATAGCATTTATTTGAACTTGATTTTGTGAAATCCCTGCTAAATAAAAGTATTACGGTAATTTCTTTTTAAAAAAGCTTACTGACCACAAGCTTTTTTTTCCCCCATTTATAAGCATTGGCCTCTTAGTAAGCATTGATTTTACATTCTCCCTGCAGGTTAGACAGACACAGCAGCACCGACCGTCCATTTTTACATATTCCTGTATTGATTAGATCCTACCAACGGCGTGACATCTCCTCCTGATCCCTCATTATATTATTATAATATATTAACGATGATAATAAGTGAATCATGACATCACTGCCGTCTTACCTGCGTGTGATCTGCATCCCTGTTTTCATTCTCCTTCCACAGCTGATCTGGAGGTCCGTCGACCTCTGGCTGTAGGGGTCGATACCCAATGAGAGGCACTTCTCTCGAACCCACTCCGGGCAGCTCGACTCCAGATGTCCTCATACTACGGGGGAGCATGATGGTGCCGCTGGCCAATACACAGAAAAATGGGGTCAGTTGGAGAGGAACAAGCAGCAACAGGGAGTCATTCGCCCTGGTAGATCATTTGTTTTCATCATTTACATTTCCCTTTGCCAAGAGTCAACTTCAAATTTGAATTCAGGTCCCTCCCTTGCCTTGTCTCCTTTCCCTCACTGGTATTTATATTACGCTTTAGATAGAGATCTCTTTCAGGAAGAGACGGATGGAAGAGCGCAGCTCACCATCAAAACTCACACAAACAGCAAAAAACAAAATCGTTAAGGTCTTTTAAACAAGTGCAAGTTGATAAAATGACATTTTTAACTGCTCTTTTGAATGCCTCCATTCACTAGTCAGGGATAAACATGTATTAGTGTGCAAAACAAGACTGAATTAGGTCAAACCTAACAGGAAAATAAAGCTTTCTTTCATCTGTCCCTATGGTCCCTGCGTAAAGCTTATCTGCGTTATTTCCAGTTTACTGAATCAAACAAGGAAGTATCTAAGAATAATTTGCCATTTAATGTCAGCAATGGTCAAAGTACGTCTCGCACGCTTTTATTAATGACTTTTCGCTTTTCTCTCGTGAACTTACAGTTTGTAACAGCCCTCATACAGGACAGCACATCCTCTCTCTACATTCGTAGGCACTAAAACACCTCTGCGTGATGATCTCACCGGACCGAAATACCTGTTAGGAGAGCGATATCACGTCCATCCGCCCCTGCGTGGAGATTCCTCGGAACTCAGAGTTTCTGTGCCTCCATATCTCTCTTCTCCTGTCAACGTCAACGCTTATCGGCCCGATGAAGGCTGCGAGCTGGTGAGGTCTGCGTTCGGTGCGCTGGTGACGCGCGAGCGGCGCGTTGGGCGCAGTTCCTGCTGTGGCTCCAGCGCGTGTGGTCATTGGCTGAACGGCGTATGGTCATTGGCTGGACGCGCTGAGGAGAAGCGTTGCCCGCTAAATTCAGAGCTTCTTCGCAGCATTCACGGCAGCGTCGCTGTTCTACACACCGGACGCGTCGAATAAAAACGTATTTTATTTTTATTCTGCTATTCTTAAAATATTGAATATTTTCTGCTATTCTTTTTTATTTTCTTCGCTGCCTCTCGAGCCACTTTTATTTCCGTCATTCATCTAAAACAAAATAATTGTATTTTTTAAATGATCATGTATGTTTTTTTTTTTTTTTTTTTTTTGCAACTTACTTTTTTTATTTTGCTGCTTTATTCCAGTCACGTCACATAATTTTAATTTTAAAATATAATTTACATTTTATTTTGCAATTACCTTTATTTTATTTCATGTTATGTTGCACTACTCTATTCACTTTTTTTCCCTCTCAAACATTTGAATAAAAAATACTATTTACTCAAGTAAGTACTACTGACTAACTACTTGTAGTTAGGGTTTGATTTAGGGTTAGTTACTTGTAATTATGCATCATTTACTGTTATTACAATAGTAAGTGCATGTAGTAACGTGTAATTTTTTACATGCATTTTGTATTGAAATATTATACAATTATGTTTTAATGACCTCATATCAATTGAGGGACTACATAGACTTACATAGAGTAAGTGAACTGAAAATTTTAAAAGAAATGAGAAAAAAGAAAAAAACACATTTGAACCTAATATCTTGATTTTGATGTTATGTTTCAACTACACAACTACATTATAAATATTAGCTTTATTTATGAAGAATATGTCAATAAGAAGTCCGATTTAGCTGTGTGTGTGCATGTGCGTGTGAGTGTGTGTGTCTGTGTGTGTGTACCCTCACACGTTGTCAAGGTTGTATTTTATTGCCTGGTGTTGTTTCACGGCCTGAATTTTAAGTGGCCAGTGGTGTTGAAGTTTTGATGTAAATGATTAATGCTTTTGAATGGCTGGGCAGTTCGTAGCTGGGTGATTATTTAAAGCTAATCCTTGAGCAGAGTGTCAGCTGTGGACTCCACTGACCTTGCAATATTTTTATGGCAGAGCCTTGAAGAGAAGACAACAAAAATAAGGACAAAAAAATAGCATGCATTAAACAGTGCAGTGGAAAATAACCATCAAATAAACATCACAGGTATATAGTGCTGCACATATGGCATAAATTAGCAGCCCAAGGGGATTCAGAAAAACCATAGAAATACTTTATGCGTTTAAGCACTTCTCACATGTTTTGTTTATTCTAACAATACATGTCTGGAAATTACAACAGGTTTTAAATGATGTGTTTATGAACAAGCTCATCATTTTCCACTCTAAAACAAAGCGACTGTACATGCTCAAGTGACCCTCGGTTTGTCACTATCCATCTGTTTTGAAGCTGTGTGTGTTATGCAAGACTTCAGCATCTCAGGGAGATTTCTGTGTTTATTAAAAGGTTGTTATGGTGAATAAAAGCATTGGTAATGTGAGCTATGCATTCAATTCGTTGGGGTGGACTAATTAAAACAGTGGTTATGAATAATTCATCACTATCAAGCTCTTTAGGCCTGCTCTCTAAATGGCATGGCAACTTATTATAGCCTTCAAAAGGTGTGTTGTTAGTTACCCAAAACTCTTTCATGTTTGTATTTAGAATCACTAAGTTAGAAAGAATCTACAGTGATAGGTATGAAATGCAGACTGTTTTGAGTTAGCTGTAATTTGACAAAAGAACAAACGAAGCCTGTGTGTTTGCATCTTTTGTGTTTGCGCCCCCTGCTGGACTCTCAGAAAACTGCTTTACAAAAGACACGCCAGAGGCCATTTTGAACATTCCTGCACTACCATCATCATCATCACACAATATGTGTTAGACAGTTGTGTTTGATGATATGTCATGATTTTTTGTTTTGATCTACCTCGTTTTACTTGTGTTACCAGTCGGCTGTGTGTTGCAACATGAAACAAATTTCGTCTTAAGGATGAAATTGCAAAACAAAAGTGATCTCAGTTATTCCGCCTGTATAAAATAACATGCATACAACTGTAATAATATAGTAATAAATAAATAAATAATCAAAGAAGCTCTACTTTACATCTAATTTTATGCTAGATGCGATTTGACAGCACTAATATATATTATATGGCGCTATACATATATATATATACATACCACTCTAAAAAATGCTGGGTTGTTTTAACCCAATTTTGGGTCAAATATTGACAAACAGCATATTTGACCCAAAATTGGGTTAAAACAACCCAGCATTTTTTAGAGTGTGCATACATATACAGTATATGCATGTTTATAATTAATAATATATTATATATTGCACTTCATGTTCATTCATTGCAACAAATACACAATGTTCTTTAACAAAATGCATAACGCAAAGGATTTTTCTCATAAAGCCTACAAATTTTACTTTTTAACTTTAAATAAATATTTTAGCCTATATAAAAGCGTTTCTTTCTTGTATTTTGTATTATGATTATTTACCCTCAGTGATTCATTTATAATTGATCATCATTGTATTCCAACTCAACCCACATATCGGTTAAAATTGTGTGTTTTTTTATGACGCAGGTTCAAATATTTTCCATGAAAATCTCTTTTTCAAGAAAGGCTGCGCGTAACAGCGTTGCCACTTTTTTTTTTTTTTTTTTTTTTTTTTTTTTTTTTTGCCGGCACCCAAGGGCATTTTCAAACTTTCTCCAGTCCGAAAAGTCCACGGCGCGGCTCTGCTGGACTAATTACATCCCCCAAACTTTCCCTAATGATCCGCGGTGCGTGCGTGCGCATTGGCCGGGCGGTTGCGGGGTCGGGCGCAGGTGGTCGTGCCGGCTTTCAATCCGGTGGGATGTCGGTCAGTCGTACAGATGTGAAGGTGTTTTCAGGATCTCCCTCCCTCTCCATCTCCCTGTGTTTTATGTCTGCGTCACAACAAGTCGAAGGAGAGGTAGAGAGAGAGGCAGAGATTATGATGGCGTCTCTCTCGGGCTGATTCTCATGCCGCTTCCCTGATAAACACGCTTGATATAGCATTAACCGAGAGACAGAGGAGGGCTGGGAACATGTCCCGACAGACGGAGAGAAAGACGGACGGACAGACGGTTGCGCACTGACGGCTTGAGTGACGCGCGTTTGATCCACCGCGACTCTCCAAACGCGCCGATTATTCGGGACAGTGATTGAGACGGAGGAGAACAACACCGGGCATCAGGCATTTCATGCGAGTCTGACATCTCAGACTCCCCGGCTCTGTGACCCCAGCAGAGCAGAACACTTAACACAGGTACATCCCGTCCACGTATGATCTGTCATGCGTGTTAATTGATATGTGCATGCGCGTGCCATCATATGTGTCTGCTCCTCTGATGAGTTGTGTGCATTGATTAAATGCACATCTGGCATGCATGCATTTTTGCATGCAATCAATGCATTGTTGTGGCATCTGCATATATTATGGTTCGTTGCATATGGCAGCCAGTGTTTTTGATCATGTGTGGCACTGCAATGTGCATTGACTCTTCATCATTTATCCTACTGTACTGTATACTGTCGCTATGCACAGAGTTTAACCCTTTAGGCTGCTGCTGTTTGCTTGTGTGGAAACACATTTTAACCTCTCTGGATCCTTTTTTGATCTTTCTTTCCCGCGCTCTTCAGGATGGGGGGAGTCAGTGAAGGAGAGGATGTTTTAGCCAGGTGGAGCGATGGACTTTTGTACCTTGGCAATGTCAAGCGAGTAAGTTTGTTGTTTCTTTTTTCTCAAAGTTTGTCTGGAAGAGAGAAAGAGACACTAGCAGAGAGAGAGAGAGAGAGAGAAAGAGAGAAAGAGCAAGTTGTAGTGACTTGGTGTGCTTTTTAGTTTGTAAATCAGTATTATTTAAAAAGAAACATTGAGATTTTTATTTGTATTGTATTAATTTTTCAGGTGGACAGTGTCAAGCAGTGCTGTTTGATCAGATTTGAGGATAACTCTGAATTCTGGGTCCTCAGGAAAGACATCCACTCATGTAAGTGGATAAACTTTAAATTCAAACTCAAAAAGTAAGTAAAAATATCCCAAAAAACCAATGTAAAAAATAAATAAAATAAAAACAGTGTGTGCTGTTTTCAAGACTTAAGTTTTTTTTTTTTTAATTCTCATTGTCAATGTGAATTTTTTTTAATGGCGAGTCTCATTAATCTTTATTTTTTACTTACTGTAATATATAATTTACTTATTTTTCATTATATAAACAAGAATGAGATTTATTTTTCAATTACAATAATACGATTTTGCTTACATTGGTCAACTTTTCTGCGGCTGTACAGCCAATAGAGTGAATGGATTTTTTTTCGTTCTTTTTTCTATTCATATTGTTAGGATTGTACTATATAACCATAAGCAGCATCTAAACGAGGATATTAATAATGAACAATCTTTGAAATCGTATACCCTAGCTTTAAATATCTGTTTTTGTTCTGGAGTGAAATATGACCCAGACAGATTTTGTGATAAACTAAACTAAAAAGAAATTAAGCCTTATGAAAGAATTTGGAGTGATTTACAAAAAACTAAGTTTATTTTAACTTCAATTTTTATTCTATTTTTTTTCCTGTTGCATCACTATGTCCTCAAATGGAATTCCTAAAAAAAAAAAAAAAAAGTCTCCCTAAAACGATTCCTGTCTGCCATTGGTCAATCAAACATATAGTCCCGCCCCAAACTCACACTATTGGTTGAGCCAGTGTTGCTGTTGTCTCAGGCTCATTGGGATGCTTTTTTAACATTTAAAAAATGGCTCAAATCACCTTTTACATTATATATAATTTCAGAAACCGTGTAGTGCATTAATATATTGGACTATTTTTCATTTGTGTGTTTTTTATTGGTCCCACTTTATATTAGGTGTCTTTAACTATATGTACTGACACTCAAATGAATATTGTACGTTTTTACGCTGTACTTATACGGTACATTTAAAATATATACAGTATATTTAAAAATGGAAATATATCTGTAATTCATTTCTGTTATTACTTCTATAATTACACTGTTGAGCCTACTTACATCTTAAAGGGATAGTTGACCACAAGTCCATTAAAGTGCATCTATTCATTATTAAAGTGCTCCACGCGTCTGCAGGGGTTATTAAAGGTCTTCTGAAGTAAAGCGATGCGTTTGTGTAAGAAAAATATCCATATTTAAAACTTTATCGACTAAAATAACTGGCTTCCAGCAGATTTACGGCAAAAGAGTAACCCTTGAACTTGACACACAAGTTAATGACGAACGCGGTTGACCAGCTCTGTTCGTTTGAACCGTGACAGGTGTCAATTGCCGTCATTACGGCAAAGCCTATATTTAATCTGTTCATCATATAAAGTAGGGCTGTCAAAAAATTAATCGCGATTAATCGCATCCAAAATAAAAGTTTGTGTTATGTGGGTCCACTGTGTATAACTATTTTGTGTGTATATATATAATATATATATATATATATATATATATATATACAGTAAATACACACACATGCATGTATATTTAAGAAAAAAAATATTATTTATATATAAAATATTTATATTTATATATAATATAAATTATATATAAATCTATATACAGTATATACATGAAAATATTTCTTAAATATATACAAGCATGTGTGTATATATGTAATTATACACAGTGGACCCACATATATTATCTAAACACAAACTTTTATTTTGGATGCGATTAATTGCGATTAATCGTTTGACAGCCCTAAAGCGATCGCATCTCTCCAGAAAATTTTTACTAAACCCCTCAATTCATATATGGATTAGTTTTACAATCTCTTTATGAACTTTTTGAAGCGTCAAAGTGGTAGTTGCGTAGCTGTCAATGAATAATAATAAGTAGTAATAAATGCATAATAAATAAAATAAGTGAATAAGTGAAGGGACAGAAAGCTCCTAGATTTCATTAAAAAGATCTTCATTTGTGTTCCGAAGATGAACAAAAGATTTTTGGGGGATGAACTAGCCCTTTAATCCACTCTTAAAGGGATACTCCACTTTTTTTTTGAAAATAGGCTCATTAACTCCTCCAGAGCTAAACTGTTGAGTTTTACCGTTTTCGAATCCATTCAGCCAATTTTCTGATATTTAGAAGAATATCAGTAACCAGACAATTTCTGGTCTCATTGACTTCCATAGTATATATTTTTTCCCACTATGGAAGTCAATGAGACCAGAAATTGTCGGGTTACTGATATTCTTCTAAATATCAGAAAATCAGCTGAATGGATTCGAAAACAGTAAAACTCTGTTTAACTCTGGAGGAGTTGGAAAAAAAAGTGGAGTATCCCTTTAAACCTACCAAACCGGTCTCTAACCTTACCCATATCCAACCTCAATAGTAGCAAAAGTGAACACAATAAGCACATTGTACTTATTTTTTGTTGTAACTACATAGTAGTCGTCAAAGACACCTAATATAAAGTGTGACCTTTTTGTTAATCTAAAGTAAAGATCAAAATAGAGAAATATTGGTGTGTGCCAGATATTTTGAAGCCTCTAGTCGGCGTCTGTCCAGTAAATGACCCTGTTTATTGTGTCTTGTGTTCAGTCTCTTCAGGAGGAGAGGATGTGTGCTGTATATGTGATGCTCCACCTCTCAAAGAACCTCTCGTAAACTGCCTCAAATGTCGTCATGGTAATCCTGTGTAGATTATACAGACCTGTAGATTTAAATCTGTGGTTTTGGTTTATATTTATAAAGGAATATGTTACATATGCTGCCATTGTTTCCCCAGGTTATCATCCAGAGTGCCATACACCACCCATTGAACCTGAAGTTGACCCCAGTAGCTGGATATGTCGCCAATGTGTCTTTGCAGTCGCAACAAAGGTTGTACTTTGCTTAAATCCTGAAGTGAATATTTCGAAACACGGACAACGTTAGCATTCAAGGTCTATTTCAAATGGCATCCTAACACTAGGCTTAAATCTTGCTCTGAGATGTAAAGGGTATCCATGGCTTACTGCACTTGACTGCATATTTATTACATTGCAGCACTCTGCAGGTGATGTCGGTGGTAGAGCTGCGTTAAATGGGCCTGTGCTTTAATCCGTCTGTCAGCGCGCTCGTTTCACAGGCCTTACATGCTGATTTGAAGATAAAATCATATTCACCAACCCCCCCACTGCAGGAAATATTAATGACTTCCTTCAACGTGTCTTTTCCAAATTCAATCTTCAGATGAAATCGCTGTTAAATGTGCTTACATGACAGGAGAGCGCATGTCTCGGAGAGGTGAGATACATTGTAATAACAAGCTGTGTTCTGTCCTAGAGAGGGGGAGCGTTGAAACGAGGACGCTTCGCGCGGCTCATGCAGATCATGAAAGTGCGGCTGCCCTATCAGCTGTCATCTTTAGACTGGGACCCGCAGCACTTGACCAACCAGCAGCAGTGTTACTGCTATTGTGCTGGACCAGGAGAGTGAGTCCAACTTATAATATTCTCACATGACTATGACAGTGCTTCAAATGGTAAAATTAGTGTACTGCGACTGTACAACAATGCGCAAGTATATACTATATACTAGGGCTGTCAAGCGATTAATCGCGATTAATCACATCCAAAATAAAAGTTTGTGTTTACATAATATATGTGGGCGCACTGTGTAGGCTATAATTATTTTGTATATACTGTATATAAATACACTCAGATGCATGTATATTTAAGAAAAAAATATTATTTATATATAAAATATTTATTTATATATAATATAAATCATATATAAGTCTATATACATAAAAATATGTCTTAAATATATACAAGCATGTGTGTGTATTTAGATGTAAAATAATTATACACAGTGCACCCACATATATTTTGTAAACACAAACTTTTAATTTGGATGCAATTAATCACGATTAATCGTTTGACAGCTCTACTATATACACTAAGTATATACTCTTTTGAAAAGTAGTGTGTGGACAGTATGCAGGAAATAAAAAAAGTTATTCGTTCGTTTATTCGTTTTATACTCAGCGTAAATAAAGTCGGTCATTCGGATATCTGTACAGAATGCATAATGCATACGACCTACTTTCAAATATGATTTATATACAATACAGAGCTACCAAGCGATTACAATTTTTCATCTAATTAATAACATGACAATATATGAGTTCATTACATTATATGCTGCTTAATTAATCTAATTAATCACTAATTAATCGCAGATCAAATTTGGCTCCCCCCCCCCCCAAAAAAAAAATTTTTTTTATAGCATTTTAGCATCAAAATAGACTTTTAGAATTTTTTTTATTTGATTCAACATAGAATTTATTACACATAAGGCTACAATGCTGCATCTAAATTGGTATTTAGATATTTTGTCAGACAAACGTTTTGGCAACCAACATTCTTCAAAATATCATCTTTTATGTTCCGGAATGGAAAAAAAAAGTCATACAGGTTTGAAATGACACAAGGGTGAGTAAATGTCACATGTAAACCGGATTTAATTTTTTAAGCCAACTATCCTCAAAATATAAAATAAGTATTTTAATGATATGATAGTCTAAATAAAAAACTAAAACTGCCAGTAATGAGGAAGTCGTTGAGTCATTCATTCATTCGATTTGTTCATTCATTCATTCGATTTGAAGTAAAGGTGTGTGTGTTCGACTTGAAGCGGCGCCGTGCAGACCGATCACTGTATGACACCTGAGCGATTCCAAATCATACAGAGCCGTTTGCTATCTAATCGCTTTTGCGGGACACCGACCGGTCCGGGCAGCGCCACTTCAAGTCAAACACACCTAATGGCTTGGTCATTAAATCATTGAAACACGGATTCATTCAGAAATGAAACAATGGTGTGTGTTGCTCCGAGACCCACAACAATTCTGCTCTGGCTTTATAGGTAATATTTTTGTTGGAAAATTAAGCGAAAACAGACAATATTGTGTGTAAAACACATCACAATATGACTTAAACTGCGATATAAAATCAATATCACATTTGCACTCATGCTATTTGGGATAAAAACAGCACTTGTGTGATATTGCGCTTGTTACTCATGTGATGTTGCTAAATTATATCATACCATTCAGACCTATAAATGAAATAAAACTCATTTTTGCCCTGATATTTTTAATTTTAGAGGCGTTCTAACTGTATTCTATGGGCTTAGTCACGCAGTGAGTTGTTGCCCTGCTTCATGTTCATTATAAATCAACTATATGAATTGTAAGATGAACTGCATGTACATAGGTTGGGTTCTACATACAGTAGGTTTGTGAAATGTTAGTATAACATGTTTATATTTAATGAACTCTTACACCTGTAAATCTCAGAGAAACACTCGCTGACTAGAAGGCATTGAGCAAAAATTGGTTAGAAAAGTAACTTTAGTTCTGAGAAAAAGGACTAGAGTCATTTGTTTGCAGACGCTAATTGGTTTGATATTTTGGCTGGTGGCATTCAGACATTTTAATTGTATACATATTTTTTGGGTGCACTGTATATGCAGAAAATGTGCAATTATTTTAAAAAGAAATTGCACAACTAACAATTGCAGAAAGTTCAGGGTGAGTTGATTTTAGTTTCAGGAGTGTGTGTGTATGTCTAAACCAGGTGGAACCTGAAGATGTTGCAGTGTGGGAGTTGTGGGCAGTGGTTTCATGAAGCTTGCACTCAGTGCCTGACCAAACCTCTTCTCTATGGAGACCGGTGAGGCTGACGCCATTGTTAAGCGCATTCGGTTGCTAAGCTAATCCTGTCTAAACCTTTTCATCTGTGTCTCTGCTTCACCTTTCAGCTTTTATCAGTTCCAGTGCTCATCGTGCACAAATGGTCTAGAGACCATCCAGAGGCTTCCAATGACCTGGTAAGTGCACTACTTCTGTTCTGAATCAAGAAGAGCTGGATGTCATTTCCGATGATCCTCATTCTGTTGTATTGCAGGGTAGATTTGGCCCATTTGGTGTTGTATCACCTCTCCCTGTGCTGCAAGAGGAAGTATTTTGATTTCGATCATGAAATCATGTCTTTTGCGAATGAGAACTGGGAATCTTTGCTTCTTGGCACGGTAGGAAAATATCTTAGTCGAAAGCACAGCTCAATTTAAACAATTTTTCGGACATATTTATGAAAGAAACAGGATATTTGTTAAGAAAAAACGTTGTGCAGGACCTTATTTTTTTTTACAAGAAACTGGATCAAAAGTCGTTTTAGAGGCAGAGCAATATAAATCAGTATTGTTGTTGTCAACTAAAACCATTCAAATTCTCTTTCACTAAAGAGTAGTTCACTTTAAAAAAAACAAAAAAAAACTTTTGCTGATAATTTACTCACCCCCATGTCATCCAAGATGTCCATGTCTTTCTTTCTTCAGTTGAAAAGAAATTAAGGTTTTTGGTGAAAACATTCCAGGATTTTTCTCCATATAATGGACTTCAATGGGAACCAAACGGTTCAAGGTCCAAAAGACAGTTTCAGTGCAAACTGCAAACTGTTCAAAGGGCTTTAAACGATTTCAGACGATGAATAAGGGTCTTATCAAGCGAAACGATCGCTCATTTAAAAAAAAAAGTTAAAGTTTTATAAGCTCAAATGGTCGCCTTGCTCTGTTCTGGGATGCGCGTTCGTGACTCTCCTGTTCAAACTCGTTTATCAAAATTAACAAATCGTTTTCTGAGTCAATTCGTTCATTTCGTTTGTTGAATGAACCAAATGACTCAAAAAAAGGTTTGTTCATTAACGAGTTTGAACAAGAGAGTCTCGAACGTGCATCACAGAACAGAGCAAGGCGAACATTTGAGCTTATAAAACTTAAACTTTGTTATTATTTTTTTTAAATGAGCGATCTTTCCGCTTGATAAGACTCTTATTCATCGTCTGGAATCGTTTAAAGCCCTTTGAACAGTTTACAGTTTGCACTGAAACTGTCTTTTGGACCTTGAACTGTTTGGTTCCCATTGAAATCCATTATATGGAGAAAAATCCTGGAATGTTTTCATCAAAAACCTTAATTTCTTTTCGTCTGAAGAAAGAAAGACATGGACATCTTGGATGACATGGGGGTGAGTAAATTATCAGCAAAAAGTTTTTTTCAACAGTGAACTACTCCTTTAATTACAATCAGGATGAAATAAAACAAATTATTAGATGCAAAACTTAAACTTAAAAAAACAAACAAAAGAAAATTAGAAATGTTGCATTAGCAACTAATAAAAATATGAATATGAAAGCTGAAAAAAAAAGGGAAAGAAAACTGAAAAAAATCATTCAAAATATTTTATTGGGATTTTTTAATAAGGATTTTTCCTCCATATATTGGAAATGCCTCCCGACCCCATCATGATTCATGGCTTTGACATAAAGGATATTGACTAATATTACGCCCGACATTTCAACAAGAAATCAGCACAGAAAAGAAGCCTGCACTCGTAGAGGTTTTAAGGAAATAAAAAGGTCAGGTCTGATTTCACGTTGTGAATGTATTCAATTTGAATGTAGGTTTGAATACGCTCTCTTTGTGGTCAATCTGAGCCTTTACCTTTCAAATGCATTTGTTACACACTGCCTTTCATTCGACTCTATATTTTAATCCCTCAGCTGTCGGACACGCCGAGGCAAGACCGTTGCCAAAACCTGCTCAATGCTTTAAATTCCCACAAAGACAGGTGAGACACGGATCATACTCTGAAAACTGCCCATAGGGTTATAACACATATTTCCAATAATATCTGCAAACCCATTACTGTAATTGCTTTACATTATAAGTGACTCTGCACATGTTATTTCCCTCTCTACATATAGTGTTTTGATAGCTGAAGGTGGTTCTGTCTTTCAAAATAAATAATTCAGAGTCCATTTCCATTTTCCTTCTGTCAAGGTTTGTGGATGATGCCGCTCAAATGCTAGCGCTTAAATAACTGAATCAGATGTTTTAGTTGGCGAGTGTGAGATGCCCAGGAACAAATAAAAATCTGTCAGCGAGCCCTGAAGGACAGCAGTTGAATACCAATCCAATGTGATTTTGATCTGTCATAAAGGTTCGTCTCGGGGAAGGAAATAAAGAAGAAGAAGTGTCTCTTCGGGCTCCAAGTTCGGGCTCCTCCCCCTCTGTCATCGGACCAATCTCCTTTCATCGCCGAACAGCCAATCAACATCACCCACAGGAGAAGGTCAGAGGCAGGAGCACATCAAGCTCTTTTCATATCAACATTCAATTTCTTTTCTTCTGTAATCTGAGTAAAACGGCATATCAGTAAGATAGAAATGTGGAAAAGGAATTTATTTCTTCTGTTGGATAATTCAATACAATGAATCACACACAGTACCAGTATGAACACGCGTTGATAAGATGGGAAGGGTTGAAAAGGTATGACGGATTAATTACATAAGCCGAAAACAAAATGTCTTTTGATTCTATTTAAAAGATTATGGAGACTTTACCAAATAGTAACAATAAAACCCTGTAAATTGTCTTTGACACAAGGCAGAATTAGCTTTAATCATTTTTCCTGTTATTATTTTACTCGCCTTCATGATTTCCTAAACATGAAAAACACAAAATTCACGTTTTTAAAATAAACTTTAGGCTGTTTTTTTTTTGTGATCATGTTTGCCAAGTTCAAAAAACAGGACACAAATACAGCACTATATGAACCAGTGTGATTTATAGTTTTAATAATTTAAATGATAACAGTTTTTATTATATTCTATATATTCTTAATATTTTAAGAATAGCTTTTTGTGTAACCATGGTTACCTAGCTTAAAAACAGGATCTAAAAACATCACCAGTATGAAATATTGTTTAACAATGAATATAATTTTAATATTTTTAATTATTATTGGCTTTTTTATGTAACCATTTTTTCCAGGGGTAAAAAACAGGTTACAAAAACACCACCAGTTTGATATATTTTTAATAATTCATATTTTAAATGACGCATATCATATTTAATATTTTAAATATTTTGATGTTTGTCAAGCTCAAAAACATCACCAATATTGAACCATATATTTTTTTAAATAATTTATATTTTAAAAATATCATTTTAATTCTTTAATATTTTAAATAAATGTTTCATAATTAATATGATTTTAATATTTGTAATTATTATAAGGCTATTTTATGTGACCATGTTTGCTGGGCTAAAAAACAGGACACAAAAACACCACCAGTTTGATATATTTTTAATAATTTATATTTTAAATGACACATATATTTAATATTTTAAATAATGATTGATGTTTGCCAAGCTCAAAAACACAACCAATATCGAACCATATATATTTTTGAATCATTTATATTTTAAATATATCATTTTAATTATATTTAATATTTTAAATAAATGTTTCATAATTAAAATAATTTTTATATTTGTAATTATTATTGACCATTTTATGTGACCATGTTTGCCATGCTCAAAAAAAAACATCAGTATGATATGTGTAGCTAAATAATTGATATTTCAAATGACTAATTTTTAATAATTTTTAATATTTAAAATAATTATTGACTGTTTTTTGTGGCCATGTTTGCCAAACTCACAAATCAGTTGTCGTCTTTGCTCCAGCCCCACGTCACTGTCCTGCCAGCGGAGAGCGGTGGGTCCGGAGGCCCGTAAATCAAAGCGTCGGGTCACCGAGACACAGGTCAGTGCGTCTGTCTTTAACAGCAGCGATCAAAAGATGTCTGCATCAGTACTGAGACTTTCTCATTCACGAAAGACACCCAGCATCACCTTTTGGGTTTGTTTTTCTCTTCATATTCATTTGACTTATTTTTTGCAACTTGCAACTCTGAGTCAACAAGGTCTGTCTAGCCTTGCAAGTAGCCATAAAATACATGTACACAGAGGCACAATGATTGCATGCGTCCATTTTGAGAAGGGTTTGATAAAAAACTAGGACTTTTCTTATTCCACCGGGTAAGTGTGCAAAAAATGACATTTTGATGTTATGTTTTTATCAATTCTTGTACAAGTTTTGGGTATTTTATTTTTATTTATTTAAGTAATTTTTTTTAATCTTGTTTTGCTTTATTTTGTTGTTGAACAGTTAGCTTTTTTCACTGCACAGATAGTCATTACTTTGTTTTCCTCATACATCTTACATAAAAAATCTATATTTTAAAATACCATTTGTGTTAATGTTTTTCATTTATTTTTTTTATCTCTATTTTAATTAAATTTAATAAAAATTTGTATTTTAAAATACCAAATTTTATTTTATTTTATTTTAATTTAGATGGCAAGCACCATCTAAATTATTTATATGTATTTATATGTTCCCAGCAAAGAAAATATATTAAAATAATAGTATTATTAGCATTAATGCTTTTTGCATGCAAATTGTTGTAATACGGACATCTACCAATAGGGGCTAACATCCATAGCTCAGTCCCTCCAGGATTTCACGATTTTTTTTTGTGATTTTTGCGATCAAAATGACTGATTTTGTGGTGGTAATTTCCAAAAATTTGTGAAAAAATTTGCGATTTATATATAACATTTACCATAATAGAATTCAGTCCTTCCAGAAAACCGCAGAGTTTTTTTTTTTTTTTTTGCGGGCAAAAATTGATTACGTGGCCCGTTTTCTTTAAAAATGCGATGGAATATGTGGGATATTTATGCAATTTTATGCGATGAAATTGCAGGAATTTGCACAAATTGAGGGAACTTGCAAAAATTGCGGTTTGATGAAAAAGAGAAAAAAAGTGATTCCCCCCCTGTTCTCACTAGGCTAATGTAAGAGTCATTTCTTATTACTTCCTTTGATAAGCAAGCATACTACATCATAGAAAGTGCTGGGAATATTTAATTTCTCATCTTGTTTAATTTTGTAATGATACGTGCGCCTCAAACACCCCATGTGTGCGGGTAATTTCTGTTTGATGCTACTTCTTTTATCTTATGTTGTTTATTAAGTAACGATGTGACGGTAGAACGTGCGACAGACAGTTATACGAGTTTGATTTGTGAGATGTCAATCGCCTCCGTGTCTGTCTGGCGTCGCGTAATTGCGTCACTTCCTAACGTTCCCATGGAAACAGGGGGAAATGGCTGCTCTTGTGTGAAGCAAACGCAACATTTTTCAACTTTCTGCTAAGATACATGTGACTTTTTTTGCAACGAAAATGCGAGGATTATGAAATTATGCAAACCCCGCATATTTTGCACGAAAATCGGCAATTTATGCGGCGAAAGTGCGGCGTATTTGAAAAAATGCGGCCCCCGCATAAATATGCGGACTTTGGCTGATTTTGCATTGAATTCAGCGATCGCATAATCGCGTTTTTCTGGAGGGACTGATAGCTAACTAACCAAACCTCATGCAGTTATTGTGATTGTTCATTACCATCATTTCCAAGTGTTTGGGCACTAACGCTATCTCTTGTTTTGAGCTGCTGGAACAAACTGCTATTGTCAATTGACTTTGGTATGATATGTACCACAGAATAATGCAGTCATTTAGATTCAGTATGTGTACGCGATCATCCTCACACACACTGTTGTCACACGGCACCATCGCTTCTCCCCCACTGTGTGCTGTATTACACAGCTAACACAGCCATAAATCTTAAGACTGGGCAGAAATCACCTAATATCATTTGAAAGTCTAATTTTCTTTTGTGCTTCTCCGCACTTATGAACAAGAAACCATTCTGTTGGAGAGGCGTCTCAATTTTTTAATAATCATCATAAATAATAAGAGTCTACAGGCATACAGGCGACATGAATAAATGCATTTCTGCATTATGACATCTGCAGTCTTATTTAATATCTTAATAATTTTTTTCATGGAAGCTTGTATCCACCAAAGAATATATTTTTTTAAAGATAAATATTATTATTATTATTTTTCTCTCACAATTGCGACTTTATATCTCACAATTCTGACTTTATAACTCGCAATTCGGACTTTATATCTCACAATTCTGACTTTATAACTCATAATTGCGACTTTACATCTTGTAATTCTGACTTTATCGCAATTCTGACTTTATAACATGCAATTCTGACTTTTTAACACACAATTCTGACTTTTTTAACATGCAATTCTGACTTTTTAACACACAATTCTGACTTTTTAACACGCAATTCTGACTTTACAACTCACAATTCTGACTTAATAACACGCAATTCTGACTTTATAACTCTCAATTGCGACTTTATATCTTGTAATTCTGGCTTTATCGCAATTCTGACTTTATATCTCTCAGTTTTTAGTCTTTATAACTCACAATTCTGACTTTATAACAAGCAATTGTAACTTTACATATTTCTTTACTTTTTATAATTCCGACTTTACAATAATTAAATGCAAGAAAAAAAGTCAGAATAGTGAGATAAAACATTTTTATTCAATGGCGGAAACAAGCTTCCATAGTATATACATATGACTATTTATTCCTTACACACAAAAAGTGATTTTTTTGAAGCATAGACCTTTTAAACAGATCATGTTTGTTGTTTATAACAGTTGATCATGTCATTTTAGACTTGCCCACCAGGAGTTGCGACAAACTCTATTGACCTAGTGCCATGTTGCCACGGTTACGCTGATGGAACAAGCCTGTATAACCCCAGAAAACCAGATGAAGAGATGAGTTTGGGGTTAGTAGCATGTTAAAATGAAAAACCATAACATTTTCATATATGGAAGCGTGTTTCTGCCACGGAATATATGTATTATAAAAAAATGTAGACCAATTGTAACTTTTTATCTCACAATTCTGAATCTTTTCCTCAGAATTCCGAGTTATCAATTTGCATTTGAGACATACAGGTTTATATCTCACCGTTCCAAGTGAAGTGAGTTGCTAGAAAAAGTCTGAATAATCACTGTTTCATTTATTAAAAAAAGTCTTTATGTATTACAGTTCACCTCCCAAGAGAATGTTTGCGCTCTATCACCCTTCATACAATGGATCTCAGGACCTGTCTAGAACTCTGCATCATTACAGGTCTGTAGAGAAAGTATGCACTGATTATTATAAGATTATTATTATTATTATTATTATTAAAAGAAGTCTCTTCTGCTCACCAAGGCTGCAATTATTTGATAAAAAAAAATACATAAAAACAATAATATTGTGAAAGTGGTTTTCTATGTGAATATATAGTGAAGTGTAATTTATTCCTGTGATCAAAGCTGAATTTTCAGCATCATTACTCCAGTCTTCAGTGTCACATGATCCTACAGAAATGATTATAATAGGATGCTCAAGAAACATTTATGATTATTATTCCATGTTGAAAACAGTTTTTTACATTTTTATTTCAGGATTCTTTGATGAATAGAAAGTTCAAAAGAACAGAATTGATCTGAAATGGAAAGCTTTTGTAACATTAATCACTACCATTCAAAAGTTTGGGGTCAGTAAGAATTTATTTTTTATTTTTGATCAAAAGTTACAGTAATGACATTTATAATGTTATAAGATTATATTTTACTTAAATGCTGTTCTTTTGAACTTTCTATTCATCGTAGAATTTTGGGGGGGGGGAATGGTACACGACTTTTCAACATTGAAAATAATAATTTATGTTTTTTGAGCATAACATCAGCATATTAGAATGATTTCTGAAGGATCATGTGACACTGAAAACTGATGTGTAATCAGCAACAGTAATGATGTTGAAAATTCAGCTTTCAAATTACATTTTAAAATATATTAAATCATTTTAAATTGTCATAATTTTTCACATTTTGTCTTTTTTTTCATCAAATAAAGCAGCCTTGGTGAGCAGAAGAGACTTCATTTAAAAACATAAAAAATCTTACTGATCTAAAACTTTTGACCGGTAGTGTCCGATATATTATGCATCAGGTATGCATCAACTCGTCTTAGTTACGGGAATAACATAGTTTAATATGAAAAAAACGGTGCAGTGTCCCTTTAACTTTTGTTGTACAGAACATATCTGTATAAGGATGCTGTCCAAATTCCATTTGAGAAAAAATACATATCATTTCTATTTTGGCTGAACTGTTCTTTCAAAGTGAGTACTTTTTGCATGTCTGTGTAATTGTTCTGTTCAGTGCAGAGGACCCTTGTCGACTTCCAGCCCCCTGCCTTCCATTCTCTCCGTCCTCGGGTCACCCACCCGGACAGCGGTATGAAAGCTGCCCTTCCCTCTTCCTGCGTGACGTGCCACCCTACCCCAGTACAGTCGGCATGGGGGGGCCCACGGCCATGGGATGGGGGGGAGGCGACGCCGTCCGGATCCTGGCCAGACGCGTGACGGCAGACGGAAAAGTCCAGTACCTGGTCGAGTGGGGAAACGTGAGCGTGTACTGAGACTTGTGCGAGATGGAGAAAGAGAAGGGGAAAGGGCTAGAGACATCAAGACGTGCACCATTAGTGTTTGCATGGTTACGAGCAGAGGTGTGAAAGCATCAATGAGCAGGTGGGTGTCTCGAGAGAAGAAAACCACAGCGAGCAAATCCAGGTTGAGCTACACAGCAGCTTCACTGAGATTAAATCTCTTTAGTTTCTTTTACAGTGTCTCCTATATTTTCAATACTGTTAGAAAACGCCTTTAGAATGCCTTGAACTTTATTATCATGATTTGTAATGTATAAGCTATTCATCGCCATCACATGATGTTCATGTACGCATAATGGTCAAAATGTACAATTTCAGGAAAGCTTTTTTTTCATGCGGTCACATCAATAATTGTAATATTTCAATGACAGGGAAATGAGTTCTCCTTTAAAAATAGTCCTTAAAGAAATATGATTCAGTTCGAGTTCAGTCGACATAATGTTGATTATCACAAATATTAATTTCCTCTTGTCCCTCCTTAAATAAAAAAAAAAAAGGTACGGTTACATTTATGATGTAAGTGAAGTGTTAAAATGCTCACTATTTCACTATTTTAACAAAATGATTTAAACAGCTTCACAGCTCGAAATGATAAGATTCACATTTCTGCTTTTAAATTCTTAAAAGGTCACTTCCATTGCAGATGTGGTCGATTGACCTTATCTTGTACTGAATTTAGGAATATTCCTTTAATAGTAAGCATATCATTCAAATGTTTCATGATGGATGGCAAATAAAACATAAACAATGCTGATAATCCCCATTTTTAAACATCAAGAGATCATTTTTTTAACGATTTACAGCATAAATTAGAAGTTTGTCAAGATATGCTATTGAGAGAGTGGATTTAAATGAATATAAGACTGTTCTTAAATCTTTTGTTAAAATCACTGTAACTTATATGAAAGCCTATTTCTGCAACAAAAGAAAAAACAACATGCTTTTTGTCAGAATTATGACATGAAAAATCATTATTGTGACAGTTATAATTTTGATAAAAAGTTAAATACTGAAAGAAAGTCAATTAACATTTTATTTTTTTGTCACAATTATGACAAATTGAAATGGACATGTATTGAAATTATGAAATGCGTCATAATTATGACTTTTTATCTCAGAAATAGGATGTCATGTTTTTTTTTGTTGCATGGCGGAAGTAGGCTTTTATTGTAACTCGAACGACTGCAACAGAAATATTTAAAGATGACAGAAGCGAGTCCCTGAACATTTATCAGGTCCAATACAGATTACATGCAGATCATACCTGAATAAAAACATGAGGCATTTAGTCCTTATGTGACGCTCAATTCATCAGTGAATGATTATGAATGTATTGTGTGTGTTTTTATTTGTATTTTTTTTTACGTAATTGTTAGGTCATAGATAGACAAATTTTATGTCAGGGTGACCAGGATTAGCAGACTGTAGTCCTTTTTTTTAATAGTCAAGTTTAATTCTTTGACGTTTTGTCAGATTATGTTTATATGTACTCTAGGTTGACACCTAAAATATAAACAAACAATAAAAAGATACCATTATGTTGTATAAAAGTTGCATGTGTCGACTTTCTCTGTTTATATTCCCATAAAAAAAATGTAAATAAAAAATACTAATAACTTCCTCTAATTTAGATTCAAATTTTGTGTATGTGTGGGTGTACAGTAATTGGTCGGTAAACCTTACATTATGGGGACAAATATCCCCACAAAATGGTAGTATCTAAAATCATTGTGGGGACATTTTTTGGTCCCCATGAGGAAAACAGCTTATAAATCATAAGTGCTTTTTGAACATGCAGCGTCAAAATGCGGAAAGTTTTCTGTGATAAGTAGGTTTAGGGGTATAGGGTTAGTGTGAGGGGATATAAAATACATTTTGTAGAGTTTAAAAATCATCATGTCTATATCTATATAAAACATGAAAACACGTGTGTGAGAGAATATTTATAATATTTATTATTGCGACCACCGGGTGGCAGCCGTGCACGACCATTGACGCCCTTCCCCTAACAGGTGAGCACTATGACACTAGGAATTTCGTTATAATTCTTCTCACAGTTTCAAGCACGTTTTGTTATGTTTTATAAGGACTGTAAGGTGTTTTGAGAAATAACATAACAGCAGACGGCAGGAATGTTATAGTTTGGAGTTTAGCTATATCTGCGTTGAACGCCATTTTGGCTCCGGTTGCCTTGACAGCAGGCCTCAGTTTCTGACTCTGTGGAGAATCTTCACAGAAATATGTGCAGTATAGCCTACTCCTTCAAGTGAACTCTGAAATATCGCAATTGGGATTTACGTGCACACGATTAACCAAGCGTGTTTTCCAGTGGAAAAATAAAAAGTTATGACGTTAAAGGTGGCATATTTTTAACATGAAAGATGGCGGGAAACAACTCTGCGTTATACTGAATAGTTTTGTAAAGTTATTTAAGTTTTACCTCTATATTTCAACACTATTGATTTGTTATATATAAAAGAGTTAGGCCTAAACTTTTTTTCTTTAGATAGCCTTGCATAGTCATTGTAAAAGTGATGCAGGTAAATTTACACGCAAAACACAACAACAGTTTGCCTCCATCTTGCATTGTTTTGGGTGCTAGGCTACTTCTGCATTTTGTTACTGTTTTGTCTAGGCCTATATGTGAATGTCAAAATTGACTTCCCATACTGTACGTTACATCCATAGACAGTAAAAGGGTTACATCCGAAGGCAGCTTGTGTTTAGCAGGTGTAAAGAGAAAGAGGTTTTTTTATATATATATATATATATAATTATTAAAACGTTTCTGGCAATCTTAAAGGGATAGTTCACCCAACAATGAAATTCCTGTCATTAATTACTCGCCCTCATGTTGTTCCAAAGTAAGACTTTCGGTCATCTTCGGAAAGGTCTTTCAAATGAAGAAAGGGGGGTTTCTGTCCCTCCATTGACAGCTATGCAACTAGTACCACTTGTCCACTTTGACACTTCATAAAGTTCATAAAGAAAAGAGATTGTAAAACAAATCAATATGTATTGAGTGGTTTAGTCCAAATTTTCTGAAGAGACTCGATCGCTTTTTTTATATGATGAACAGATTGAATTTAGACTTATTCACGTTTAATCAATGATCAGAAAACATACACAGAAGCTCAACCGAACCTTTAAAAAGCTTCTTTTTTAGATTGTAATGTTCTTCGAATAATAATTAAATTTAAAACAGTTTTTAAAAGTTTAATCTGAAATCTTGTAAATGATACAAAAGTAAAAAAAAATCCCCCTAATGAAAAGAAAAGTTATCTATATTCTAAGGTAGTAGCTTCTGGGTTCTACTTGTTCGGCTCAAGGCCTCAAAGGCCTATTTCACAAAAATGGCCACCGAGCGGAAGTAAGGTAAACTTTTTTCCGGTGATAGCGCTAGCAGTTGCAGTCGGAGGACAAATGTCGAGACTAAAACCGGTCCGTTCTGTTGCTTACCTTTTAATCTTTCAAACCAAAGGAGAAACAACCATATGTATCACGTCACAGTTTTTCGTGTTTTCATGGAACAACTGTGGAGAAGTTTAATCACGGCAGACGCGTGTGAAGGAGGAAGCAGATGTTGAAATGTAGTGTTGATACCGGTTCGGGACCGATGCTTTGAAAAAAACATGTTTATATTGCACTTGATTATTATCCGATTTGCACGTCATGCACTTTTATTTATTATTAATAAGTATTGGCAAATTCAAATTTTTTGTACAAGATGTTTTCTGTAACTTTCTTTCCTTTTACCGGGTGCGTTTTGCCAGGCCTGCTATTTACATGTGTGTGCAAGCAAGGGCTGGAACATTTATTAAACGTGTAGAATACTTTCCAATCCGTTACATATAGTCTTATAAATTCTGACGTTTGTGATATAAAAAATTAAACATATTAGAATAACTTTGTGAAAGTTGTGTGAACACAAGCAGTTTTTTCCCGTGAGCGGGAATGGAAAACCAGAAGTGGAACAGAACGGTAAGAGTGGAGAGAGGAACATGATTTTGCTCCAGTCCAGGCTTTGATTACATCTCCATAAGCAGGGTGAACCTTCCCACCAATTCAAACTAAAATTAAGACATTTATTACACTATTTGACGGCCTTAAATAATGAAAAGGGTCATTTAAGACATAAGGACAGGGGGACCCTGATATTGACGGAAATCCATCGAACTCCCATAATGACGGATAACTTAGGCCTACATACCTTATATATTAGTAAATATGTTGTCTCACATTTTTATATGAAAATGGCTTATTATGTAATATGCAATATATGTATTAACACCATATAATTCTGTATGTTTTCAAATATACTGTTAAACCATTTATGATAAGATTTAATTTCTTTTCATTAGGGAACCCCAGACAGTAATATTGTGTAACATCATGATTTTTTTTAAATTACTAATTAGTCCAGAAGATTGTATGAATGAAGTGAGTATTACATGTATTTTTTTTAAATCATGATGTTACATTATATTTAACTGTCTGAAAGATTTTAACTGTTATATATGAAAAGAACATATAGCTATATATAGGCTATATATATTTAACAAAAACCACTAGATTTCACTCATAGCCTACAATCAGACATCATTTCAATTTATTAATTTATTGTTTTTCGATATATTTACGTTGAATGTGAGAAGTAATCAAGTGTCATGCCATTTATGAATGGAACTTTATGCAAGCAAACGTCAAGAATTTGTAACTGTTAACCTTGTCCAATTTCGATGTTTTCACAGCTCCCTGAAAACTATCAACAAAACTGAAAACATCTGATATTCTTACTTTTGTCAGATATATGAATGATTGAGTGATTGAATGATTGAAAACAAGCTGTTCACGGTCCATTTTGAGAATGAATGTCGATCGTCATATTGTTGTCGTCTGTGTTTGACGTGATTTAATTTCTCTCCAGTTGTTCCATGAAAACACGGAAAGCTGTGAAGTGATAAATTAGGTTGTTTCTTCTTTGGGTTGACATAAACATCATAAAAAGGTAAGCAACAGGTCAACCACTGTTCTCACATGGAGTATTTTAACGATGTCTACATTTCTAGGCTCAACGGCACAGTCTATGGGAGGTCAGACAGACAGCTCTCGGATTTCATCAAACGTAGACTATCTTCTTAATTTGTTTTCCGAAGATGAACGAAGGTCTTACGGGGGAACGACATGAGTGAGTTGGCTAAATGACATAGGCTAATTTTCATTTTTGTGTGAACTAACCCTTTATTGCATGTGCTTCGAGCAATAGTAGAATATTTGCTTTACACTAAAACATGCTGTTTGGGTCAAAAATGGACAAACCCAACCGTTGGGTTTAAAAATGTTAAACCAACTGTTGGGTTTGTCCATATTTGATCCATATCATATAGGCTAGCACGGAAAGCACTTATCATAAATCATATATTTATATTTAACTGGTCTGTACAGTAGGCCTAGGCCTAGTTTGGTTAAAGTTATTAGGCTATTTTAGATGTTAGGTCGAGGTTCAAATCAACTGTTCATTCATCGTGTAATAACTTCAGAACCGAGCGATGGCATCAGGAATTCCTATACTCTGATTTATAACGTTACGATTATTCATATTCAATGGTGTGTACATGGTTAATTGTCAATTGAATCTAAATGGGATTATATCGCATCCAATTTACACACATCGATCTACACTGGCAGCTACACGCGCACACACTTACATGCGCGTGCTCTCTCTCTCTCTCTCTCTCTCTCTCTTCACCGCCCCCTTCTCTCTCTTTCTCTCTCTCTCCCTTCGTTCTCCTTCTTCATCACTCTTGTTTTGCGCGTGTGTGATATGTGATGCGATATACGGGCTGTAATCATTCCAATGGCTCTTGTCGAGCATGGACGATGATTTCGTTTCGATTCTTCCATTCGCATTACGGGAATATCGCTCCAGCGTCGACGCAGTCCATGAGCTCAAGGGGTTTTTGGCTTCCTTTGACTGCTGAAGGATATTTTCGCATATCGAGAGACTGACGAGACACTGAGAGCACGTTCAATGCCGTTGGAACATGTCATATGTTCCCTTTCAAGGTAAGATTTGTGCTGCATCCTCCGTGTTCCTCCCTCAGCGTCCTCCTGCGCTATAGAGGACCACTGATGCTGATGCTGATGCTCTCAGTGCTGCAGGTGGAGGACTGCTGTCATTTTATCACTCTAAGTCAGGCAGCTTCTGTGTGCCTGTGAGGGTTAGAGACCCCTCTGCCCTTTAAGACGTTTTACAATCTATTTCAGCACTGCAGGGTCTATGTCCCACTGCATGGAAGCTCACTGGTTAGAGGGATTATCTTGATTTGTATGAATGAAATGTCTCAGATGCTCACTACTAGTATTGTACTGAAATATCCTTTCATTTGGATACTTTTTGTGTCTGTACTCTTGAGTTTTGTGAAGTAGCTGACTGGGATGTTATTTCATGCTTTGGGGGGAATGAGCTTATTGCCTTCCTTTTGCAACGGTGCATCTGTTATCTTCAATAGCAGGCGCATCAATACTTTAACAGTCACTTAATAGTTTTTTAAATGGAGTATTGCTGTT